AGGAGGAGGGAGGAATCAAAACTTAATGGAGAGGTGGGAGAACTTGCTCACTGGAGGCGTAATCGACAAATCGCCTCAGACTGACAGCATTCGGGTTTATTTTAACGGACGAATCCCCATCTGGCCTCAGTTCAGTGGCTCCCTCTGTGTTTTCTGTGACGCTGGCGACTGCCTGTTCCACGGCGGCAGGCAAGTCGGGGCTGTCGATGGCAGACAACATGACAGCAGACTGAGGAATGCGGGAATTGGTGGCGACAGCAGAGGAGGTCCTGTTAGTTGGAACAATCGAATTGACGATCGACCTCATTGTCTGGTAGTTCGCAGTGTTTTTCACCGTGGTGGAGTAGAAGTTCTTGTAAGATACAACATCGCCTGTAAAGAAAATGGGTGGAGGCATTTATTGGCAAAGGGGTATCACATACAGTCCACGTATAGGGTTGCTGGGGGCTGGTTCGTAACTAAAAAGGAAGAGCATGAACCGCTGTGTAAATGAAAGCCTTAAATTAGTTCAAAAAGGAGGACAGACGAGTGAGAAGTTGTACTTTTTGTCGTTCAGTAAAAGAGACCAGCCCATTAGGCTTTAGGTGACCATGGAATGTGAACGGATTCCTCCAACTGCTGCTACGTCTGTCATCGGCACTAAAAACTTCCATAACAAGAATTGATTTGGTTGGCTCAAACGGCGGTCTGCGATTTAGGGTTAATTCGATAGCAATCGCCGTCGATTTGGTGCTTCGCATTCGAGTCCAGAGGACACTCAGATGGAGAAAGTGGCAACCAAGGTGGTCTTTTATGGCACTGCTCAATGAAGGTGACTCCTATCAGTGGTCAATAGATGCTCTCAACTCACGGTCCGGCAGCTGAAGTCGCCTTCATTTCTGGAGGAAGTCATTGGATGGGATAGATCTAAGTCGAACTTCGTGCACCAGAGGCCCTGGTTTTCGCTGAAACTCGGGCTGGAACCTCACTCACTTGCAGCGAGATGAGAAGGTATTCTGAGCCAGTTGTACATAGCGTCTCATTCCCTCCTACCATTGTGCGAAACAGGAACAAAGACGGACGAAAACGCGGGTTATTTTAAGCACTCAAGAGACCGCAGTCCGCAGGTTGAGACGGGAGCAAGGTCCCTAACGACGCAAGATGCGTCCCTATCCAGAATGCGGAGGATCGGCCATCGTGTCTTGCGGGACCGGTGGAAATAGGGGTTAAATGGGTGGTGCTAATGGATTGGAAAGAGTGCGGTGAGAAGGGATGAAGTGTTGAAAAAATATTCTTATTCCGTGAATAGATTCAAACAGATCCGTGCATGACTTTGAAAGCGACCCGGAAAGTTGAATAGCGGCGAAATATAACACGAAAAAACCGAAATAAGCTAACTATAACGCCTACGCAATAAGACGCCAAGCTCAGAGATCAAGGCAGCGAAATAGCCAATAGAAATCCAAAGACGAATGACGTTGGCGAACCCCATATGAATAGAGTGTGAACGTTGACCCAACGGCACGACAAATGATGCAGAACAGCGGAACACAGGGAAGCCGCCAAGGTGGCCAGCATAGGTAAGGTATAACAAATTGGCATGTATATAATCTGACAAATAAGCTGAATGTGATATTTAGGCGAAAACTTTCGTTATCTTGAAGAAAAGTAGTCAGTGTGCATAAATCAAACGACACTACTGTCGTAAGAATCAGTAGGCAGTAATAAGCGACACTCAAATTTGGGTCGCATATTGACTTTCCGAGTTCTCCCCTACCTTGGCGCCCCCACACTAACAAGGCTCGCCGATCAAAGTACACATAATAGCTATGGAAGACAGGTCAACATACACAAACTCACCTGATAACAACGCTGGCAGTTCAAAAAATCTGGTTCTACAAATATGCACAGACTGACTACTGTACAGCACATTTAGTAATTTTAATGTTTTTGACACTTGGAACAGAACTTAACCTTATACGACCGCACTATTTGGAAGTTCGTGTAGAGGCCCGCGCTGTTATCTCCAAGTCCGTGGCAATGGTCGCTGATTGGTTAAAGTACCATAAGCCTATTATTTGCCCCGCTTCAGGTTTTGTTTCTAACAACGTACTCGCGTAATAGTCCAGAAAATCAGAAAAAGGACAAATGACTTCGGCGCTCGATCAGTCTCGAATATACTGTAGGTAGCCTAACTGACGAAATGTCGTGATCGAGATTTAAATGGGTGGCATGTCATAGACTTGGTATTCTTATTTGTGTTTATTAAATTGATTTGACACGTAGAAGGCTATTTAATAAGGAAGGATTAGTTTCAACTCGGGTTCATCAAAGGAAAGTAGACAAGATTTGGACGAATTCTGACGTTTCCTGATTTCCAGGTAACTTCCTACCCTATTGACATTCACTGATCAAAACATCATGTTTATCTGTATTTTGCTGTAAACGAAGCTTAACACAAAGAAGAAAAGTATGAAATAAATCCCTTCAGGAGACGGAAAATTGGATTCAGCGTCAACAAAAATCAGATGAAGGCGGGTGCAGGAAGTCGTTTTTTTCAGGAAAAAGGGGCACATTCAGCTTATAAAATTCTGTTTTGTAAATTTGTGACCATTTCGTGCCATAAAACTCAGTAACAGACTGGTTTGACGGTAGTTTGTCTTACCACACCGAGGATTACTAGACGTGAACAAATATTTACATCAAGCATCTGCGACATGCTGTCACTGTGTGGCGAATTACAGGTGATATGGCCGTGCCCAGAAATAAGCAGGGTGGACCAAAACCGTCCACAAGTAGGCAAGACGACGAGATTATTAGTCGTACACTGAAAACATATCAATATATGCCCGTTGAGGCTACTCACAGGGAACATCCGTCAATGTTCTCTATGAACATAATTGTGTGAAGAAATCTTACTATAGAACGTTTTTTTATTCGCTAAGAAATGTACTGATTATCAATCCCCATTCTGGAAGAGCATTTATTTCTGCGACAAGGCCTTATTTTTAGACAAGTCTACGAAGTCGACCCAGACGGTCACGCTCATTTTGACCCAAAAGTTGGGTCATGATGAGTCAAAATGAACAAATGGATCAAAATGAATTATTCAAAATCTGCCAAAACACCTATTAATTACGTGAACCTGGTAGTCAGCCGGTGCATTATAGCAGTATTACTTGGGAAATCCTGCATGGGCAGTCATCTTACTTTATCAAATTAGGTGGAGCCCAGACGTTTCAGTAGGCCGGGAGGGTGACTTAACCCAAATGGGGTTAAACTCGCCGCTCCCGGTGGGGCCTTCTAGTTCAGTGGCTAGGGCATTGGCCGTACTGAAGTCCTTCTCATGCTGTCGTGGGTTCGAATCTCATCGAGGTCGCAGAGTTTTTCACAGTTGGGTCAGAGTGAATTCTCACCTTACATAATGCAGAACTGATGTGAAAAGCGTTGACTAGGATAGACATCCAATGGACCACTATGCAAACCTACTCACACGACAGATCCGACATACACTTCTAAGGTGACCCATGCGAGGTGCATGTGAGATGCTGTTACCCTTCTTGTGTGAGATGCATGAAGCTGCGTGAGCGGGGCCCTAAGTTGTGGTTTTACGGGTACCGCAGGTTCGTAGATGCGTTTGGATGAATGTTGTACAACCCTACACTAACGACTGTACTCTGGTACACGCACACTGCCGGCATTGACCGTGCAGGAAGATGCAACATAGGCAACGCCAACTGGGCCTGGTAGTACTGACACGACTAGGGTTGTAGGAAGTACCTGTGCATAAGTAGTACACGGACAGTCCCCGACGAATACATTGCTGGCCCTGGCGGATACTTTTGCGTCGCCTGTCCCGGCACCCCGTCGCGCTCAGCACAGTGGCAACATCCCCGGTAACCGTCCTTAACCGGCAAGCTAAACCAGATAATGTTGCCTGGTAGTCTCTGAACTAATCCTCAAACTCCGCCCCCCCCCAGCCCCCACCCCTTCAACAAAAAACCCCACAGAGAAGGCAACATTCAGTCCGGAGGACGGTCCGGGTTTATTCGACTCGTCCTCCCTCTATACCGATGCTGTGACCCATAAAGGAACTCTGCAGCCGCCTAGGATGACTAAGATGCCTTGTTTTGGGACAGCGCTGCTTACCCCCTTATGGGGGAAGGAGTTGAAAATGTGCCCTAAAACCTGCTGGTGGAACACGCCGTCGGCAAACTGACCGTGGCTTGTGGATGCCAAATATGCAGTCAAAAAGCACAGTCCACATTCCACGTGGACTGCTTCGCTGTTACACCAGGATGGAGTAGTCCTCGCGACGGAGGTTGCAGCTCCTGAAGCGCTGGGTCACGCACTTCCAAGGCGTGATAAAGCACCCATCAAACATTTGTGAGAAAGCCATCAACCGACTTCCGCAAGTGGACACCAACGACAACCGCGATCAATAAGGGCAGCGCAATTGGTATTCAGTGGAAAAGCATCGTGAGTAGACGCAAGTCCAGTCGAAGTCTGCTGGTGAAGAAATTGGCTTGCTGATCCAATGGACACAACAACAAGGGCAAATCCCCCAAGACTTAAAGGATTTCACCATCGTGCACATTTATAAACGCAAGGAGCACGGACAAATCTGCCATAACCGCAAAAGCATCTCTTCTTTCATCTTCCCATGAGAAATCCTCGCCCCTATCCCACTCAATCGTCTCAACGCACATCTGGAGCGGAGACTTATTTCAAAAACGCAGTGCGAACTACGAAAGCACCGCAGAACAACAGACATGACCTTCGAGATCCGCCTGCTGCAGAAAAAGCGCATCAAACGAAGGCCTTTCACGCAGGGAATCGAGATGCACTCTAGAGAATCCTGCTGAAATTCGGATGTCCTGGGCGATTCATTCAAACGGTATGACAACCTCGCGATGGAATAAAGGCTCGAGTCACGGACAGCGGAACAATCTTCGAAGCATTTGCAGGGCTGTGAACTTCCTCCCTCCTCTGTCGTGAGGATCGGCCGTGGGTCGACATCGACTACCGAACCGACGAAAAACTATTCAACATCCATCGCCTGAAAGCATTTTTGAGGACATCCAAGGACAGCATTTACGACCTATTGTGCGCGGACGGCTGCACGCTAAACACTATAACGGAAAGGGACATGCAGTGGAGCGTGAACCTCTCTGCCTCCGGCTGCTCCAACTCCAGACTGACCATCAACACCGAAAATACAGGGATCCTAACCAACCGATGCCAAATGCCGACTACGCCCAAGCATGTATCAATGTCAACAGAACGCATAACACAGCGGTAGAGGGATTCGCGTACCTTACAGAACAATTCCAAGAAACGTCAAGGTCGACGAAGAAACCGCAACTCGGATTCGCAAAGGCAGTCAGGCCTTCGGTCGACCGAAGCATTCCGTTAGGA